GCAAAACACTGTAAATAAAGCTGGAGAATCCGATATCACTAAAGACGAGTATCTAGAAAGTCCAAAACAAACAGACAAAAAATTGTTCCCACAAGCGAATTACCCATTGGAGTTTGAAATACATAAGCCGCAAAGGAGGCCGGTTTACTATCGACTATCTCAAAAGCACAGCCCTAGAGACCAGATATTAAATAAAAAGCTTAAACATCCCTGGAATCAAAATTATGTCAAGATAAAACCCGTGCATTACTATCCATTACAAAATCACATACGCAACCTACGGCAACATCACGCAGCCAAGTATGATGACGAACATAACGAGTACCCTCAAGTGCAAGACTCACAGAAGCATTCAACACCTTCTGAAGGATATGATATTTATGAAAAAGGAAAACAAAAATACGAACTATTGCGAAATCATGTTGATGAATCTATCGACAAAGCCGTACGAGAAAACAAACCGGCTGCTTACCACGAACCAGAGTTAAAAAACGATGAAGATAGTGGTGGTGAAAAAGATGTTGATGATGAAGAAGATGAGTTCGTTCCCATTAAAAACTACGCTCAGGTCAGAAAAACAGAATCGATCAAGCATTTACCACGTGAAGCAGCTTTAGAAGATGCTGAAACTTATGAAGAAATACGCAATGCACCTCGCTTACGAGAAGCCGTTAAAAGCACCAAAGCGCAAACAGTGTATACAGAAGAAGGTTATGAAGACTCAGCCTATGATCATGCTGGTGAACAGAAACATGCATCTGATCACGAAGGACATGGTGGCTTTCTTCGGCAGAAAGAAGTAAGTGGAGGTAAGTTTAAAATACCCACATTTGTGGGAAATCACGATGACGGTGAAGGATCTGAGTATAAAGATCAAGTTGTTCACAGTAAAAAATGGAAAAACGACGATAAAGATTTTAATAAAAATGTGGATGCCGAAAACTATACAGAAAGTGAACAAGAATACTCTGCTAAAGCGATTGATTCTGAAGAGTCAAATAGAAATAAAAGAGAAAATAATGATAAAAGTGACACTATGGATCAGTACAACTATCAAAACGAAACGGCAATAAGACATGCAGAAGACAAAGGAGAGGTCGTAGACGAAATCCCGCATATTAATTTGAGTTCTATATTTCTTAATGAAAAAGAAGTGTTAGAAATCGCAAAACCGAAAGTAGAAAATGAAAATGACGAAATAAAAGATAAATACCCATACTACTTTAATCATTTAAAATCTATCAGTAAAAACTCACCCCTACGATATGCAGAAAACTTTAAATTAATCCCAAAAAAGTCTAAAGGAGGAACAGAGTTTTATGATTCAAGATCTAAACTCGAATGCCCCGAAGTTGAAGACGTTGATCCTATATCAGAAAAAGTCAATGATAGCGCTGATGCCAATGATAACAGCGCAGGTAAGAAAAAAGAAAACAATAAAGGGGAAGACTTATTCGATACAGCGCAAAAACAACCGAGATTAAAAAATCTTGGAGATAAAATCGATTGCTTTAAAGTTAAATACTTTGGAGAAAATCCACTTGATAGTCCATTTTTTAAAGAAGATTTAATTATGAGTCCTGAACTAGTTACAATTCCCAACTTGCCAACATATAAATTGGACAAATTGAAAGAGCACCGCACTCAAGATGCTCAGGCTAGTGCCGTTGTGGAAAAAATTGATGCATTAAGAAACGAAGGGCGCACAGATGTCTTTGTTTTATTAGATAAATTAAAAAATGACCAGAACCAACTATATGATTCTGTTGCAACCGCACATGATCAGTTAAGAAAGTCAGTTAAAGCTCATCATAATAGCGTAACTCCAAAAACGGAATTATCTCAAGAGTCTAATATATATAACGATATTTTAGATAATATTAAAAAACAACACAAAAATCAATTAAATACGGCAAAAAATTACAGTTCTACTTTTGATTGGATTGATGAATTGAAACATAATCAGACTGCTGGTAATGAGACTTATGTTTCATACAAAAACAAAGAAGATGTTACAAAGGCTCCTCAAGTTCTAAGGAAGAAACGTTCAACGTCTTTTGTTTATGAGCCATACAAAATTATACGAGAAAGTCAATCTCAAGACTCTAAAAAAACAACAACTTCAAGCAACATAAGTCCGTTAATAAAACAAATGCAGTCCAACAGAGTAGTGGACAGAGTGACTCGAGCTAATCAAGAGCCTGAAAAACGTCGCATCAGTAAAGTATATAAAGATATAGGAAAGAGTGATAGAGAAAAAAATACTGAAATGGGTGATGAAGTTATTTCTGAGTCGAGTTTTGTAGATGTAAATATAGACGAACGGCGTGGTGAACCTAAATATGAAATCAAACATCAAAACCATAAATCTGAATACACGCCTGTTGAAAACAAAAAGGCAATTACATTGGAAGATTACCGAAACCAAAAAAACACTGGAAAAAATCTTACAGAAATAAATACCGCAATAACAATGTCACCAATTCAAAGAACATCAAGGCAAAGACGGCCATCTCCAATATCAATGTTTGATGTTTCTGAATTCTTACCAATTAGATCAGAAACCCAAAATGTCGCTGCATCTAATACTATCCGAAGAACAATGACAACAATACCACCATCTAATTCTAAATCCACTGCATCAACAATTGTGACATCAGATAAATCTGTAGAAGACGATGAAAGTGGAGAAGAATACGAAGATTATGAGGATGATGAAGACGAAGAAACCGAAGAACAAACACTAACGACAACCACTACAACCACTCAGAAGCCGACCTTGAAACGAAGAAGAATTGTTACAACAACTGTAGCCACGCACACAGAACGAACTACAGAGCTCAGTGAGCCGAAACTAAGATTAGTAACGAGGTTCCGAGGATATAATCCAGATCAACATAAGAAACAAATGCATAGTGATCATACAGAATCGACAGAAAAACAAAAACGAAAAGAAATGCCACATAGAAGAGATTCTTCTGAAATTGATGCTCTAAAATATAGGGAAAAGAAAAATAAAAGTTCAAAGAGCACTATAGTTACAGACACCAAAAAATATGGTGATGATAACGACGGTATGAAAGAAGAAGAATTGGACGCTATGATCGGTGTTAAGCACGATATTAAAGAATATATGCCTGAATATGAAAAGCAAAATAAACAGAAGTATAAAGATTCCTCTGAAGAAGATTATGAGGATAGTTTAGAAAATTTCGATGACAATGATGAAGATAATACAAATGAAGAGGAGGCAGATGATGAAGAAGAAGAGGTAGAAAATAATGAAAAAGAAAATCCAATACCCACAACGCCTGAACCTACTAAGCGTACCCTTGTTCGGACAACTGATGCACCTACACCTACTGTGGCCTCTCATAATACCAAAATGGTACTCAAACCTGTTATATCGAGAAAAAAAATCGAAATACATAAAGAGCTGCCTGTCGACAAGACTTCACCACACGTGACGCAATTTAAACAAGATATAAAAGAGGTAGAAGTAATTAAAGAAGTTACCCCAGCTCCTAAAAGGCACCTTAAAAAACAAAAAGAGGCATTAGAACTCTATAAGGATGATAGGCTGGCGAAAGAAATTAATAACTTAGGAGACGTGGAAGTTTTTAAAGAAAATCTCGATTTAGAGAATAGTCCACGTCATGGTGGCAATTACAGAAGTATTGAGGATGTAACAGAATCAAATCCTATCGCAAATTTACAGTCTAAAGTACCTAAAGACGCAGTAGCATCACAGAGTGAGAATACAAGGCACAACATCGAACTCGATGAATATTCTCCCAGGAGGATGCATGGCGGTAATTTGAAATCAATTGGTGACATTCCGAAATCTAGAAGTAGTCATAATTCTAAATTCACTGATCCAGGGAGTAATACAAACTCACGAAATGCAATGCGAAGTGGTAATGCGCGACTTGACTCGCGTCCTAGTCGCGGTAGAAATAAATTTGAGAGGTTGGAGGAACTAACAGACGACAGTTACAGAGAAGATTACTCGAAAGACGAAAACTACAAAAATGTCCACAACAATAGAAGAGGTCAAGCTATGCACGGCGGAAACTACCGTAGTGCCAAAATTGTACAAGCAGATTCAAAGAAATCAGAAGAAAACGATTACGATATCAGAGTTAGACCGAATAAATCCCAGGACGCTGGGAAAGATCCTGCAGTATTGCTTAATAGTTTCGCACAGGCTATTCCTATTTTGACTACGACCCCTGCCTATATTTTAGACCCTAGCAAACGTATGTATTATTATGTTGAAGCATAATCGCAACAAACGTTCGCCATGATTTAATGAAATATAAACGAATATAAAAGTGCCACTAAATTAAAATTTAATCATTGAATTAAACACGACAAAAAATTGTAAAAGTAATCGAATTGGGTTATATTTCAAAATTATTTATAGTTAATTATAAACTTTCGATTTAAATACAATGCGAAATACTGTGATACCTAAAATATCATTATATTCGATTGTGTTGTGTTGGCAACGAAAATCGCTGATCATAATATTATTATTGAGTTTACGAAATGTAATTTAGCAGCACTAATAGCTTGCATTGTAAATTATGATTGGAGATTTTGGTTGGACACTTCAATGTAATGATAAAACCTATTTATAATGTTGTTACTTTATAATAAATGTGTATTACATAAAGCCAGTGTGTCGTGTTTAATGTCACAAGAGTACCTACAGCCTACTTTCCGGTATCGAGTCCACACGGCGCGGCGCGGCACGGCACGGCAACACGTTCCGTTTGACGCAAGTCGCGCTTACAAACCGATCACCTCTGAGCTCGTGCATTCAACTTTACCAGAAGTCGTTTACACTTTCACTTTTATCGGTGTTTACCAAGTTGATAGTATTCATTTCGACACACTAATAAGCGCGTTGTCATCATTAACTACTCGTGCACTAAAAGGAATATGAACAATTAAATATTTTAAATTATTTATTTATAAAATTGGCAAGTCTTTGAACACCTATTCTAAGTTATAAATTAATTCTTAAGTACATTAATTCAATAAATTAAAAGAGAAAAAACACAATTATTATCAAATACATTGCAACAATCATTTGGTTTCGTTCAGATAACGTCATTACATATTTTATCTAAAACTAACTAAAATAAGATCTTAGATTTATGTACTATTACTATAATATGATATCTAATAAATCTTATTTTTTTAATTTAGTTATATACTTCGGTAAATATTATTTGACCGGAGTTACTCCACTATTTACAAGAGCTCTAACACATCACAATGTGATTGCCATCATTCTTAGAGAAAAATACAGTCGAAGGTATAATTTAAGCTAAGTAAATTCTCTTGTCTCTTAAATCGGGATTCGTATCTGGCGTTAAGGTTTCTTTCTATCAACTGTATTGGAAACGTCCAAGTTTCTGAACTGTGGATGGTTGATTGGTTTCCATTCTGCTTCTGTAGCAGGCACATAGTTTAATTCACTGTCTTCTCTGTCTATAGACTCCTCCGCCTCTCTCTCGTCTTCCCCAAAGAAATCGATAATTGGATGATAATTATAATTTATTCTCTTTCCATTCGATGTAAATTCATGATTATCTGTACTAGGATCTCGAGATTTAGGTGTAGTGGTAACTTTTTCAGTGGTGAGACCGTGTAGCTTAGGAGCTATCGTGTGTCGTGCGCCGGCCGGCCCAGCGACAGCTTGTCCAATATCAGGTTCTTCAGAATAATCATTAAAATCTTCAGAAGTTTCTAAGCTACTGCTTGTTAATGTTTCGACAGCTGATGTTCCCGCAGCTGATAGATCATCGGGCCCTGCTGATATCTTTTTCTTCAAAGGTCTTCTACTGGGTCTTGATCCTCTTTTAAATTGGTTTCCGTTCGACTTATAATTTCCTGAAGATTCTTTCACAAAAGAGAACGACGCAGAAGCTGATGGTGTTGGCGGTTCTAGGTAACTAGGTAGGGTGATGGAATCGAAGTGCTTTCCAGTAGGGTTCCTTGTCGTTGATGGCTTTCGGATACTTTTTATAGAACTAGCCTGATTAAACGAGTCCGGAAAGTATGTGTTTCCGTAAGAGTCCATAGGATTTGACAGACCTAAATTTAGTTCTTCATTGTCAGATATTTTGGAAAATGTTTGACCCGCTACTAAGTTGTGGCTATCGGAAAAGGGTGGGAATGACTCTAAAGGTTTATGGTGAGTGAACGGCGGTGATTTCACTGTCGGTCTGTGAACACTCGACTGTACAGATTCAAATGCATTATTGCCGTGTTCCGAAGATAGGTCCTCACCGGGGAAATGTTCCGAAGAGGTTTCGTGCACTCTGTGACCGAGGGGCGGGAACGAGACACTATACCCTTCAATGTGACACGAACAGCACGTTGGAACCTAAAAAGTTATAGTAAAAATAAATTACGAAATCACTCAATATTATGTCTCATAAAAAAAATTTACACATAAATATAAGTTTCAATAATAAATAATTGGTGGTAAATAATGGTAATTTTTGGTTTTCACTCGTGTTCGAAGTTTTTTGAGTATCGTCGTCATTTCCACCAAAAAATTTGTCAATAATCAAGGTATACAGAGGTGACAGATATAACAGTCATTTGAATCCTCGCGACTGCATCTTAATATTATTATTTTACCTGCTTTCATATTCTAGTGACCTCGAGGGGTCATACTAGATTCACCGAACGAGTAGGTGGGCTCTAAGCTGTGGGCGTTGCTCACACTAATCCTAGTAAGAGCCGTGCTTCGCAGAATCTACCACCGAATCGGAATCGCGACCCACTTTGTCGCAAGCGACGACTGTTGTCCCGAGTCTGCAAAGTCTTAACTGAGACGCAAGTATACCACTTACCTTAAATATGTCCATATGTAGTCCATTCTGTTGATCCCAAGTCAGAAGACGATGGTAGTTGTAAACTTGAACGCATTTTGATTGGAAATTGTCAGTTAGATAAGTGCATGAGTCCTTTGGCTTTCTGTGAAACGCAAATGATTTCTTTAATATCTTCACATTCTTTCAAGGTTGTTTTATTTGCTGGATCAATATCTATTTATCTATGTATCTGCATGTCGTAATCTTCGTGGATCGCTTATTCAAATACCTATTGTGAGTAGGAACAGCTGGATTTATTTTTAGTTCGGTTTCTTAATGAGGCATGTAGCATGTTTTTAAACCTTTTCAAACTACGTATATTTATTTTATTATTAAACGATATTAGTCTTAAGCTATATTATCATGGAACACAGATGATCTCATGGCCAACCTGGTGTTAACTGGCTACCAAGAATATCATGATGTGATTTTCAACAACAGTGAGACATGTGGTCTTCACGCACTGGAATACCAGTAGTTGCCAGAGTCTATAGACGCTACAACCTGAATCCCCTAGAGGACGATGAAACATGAGAAACTTCAATTCAATTGGATTTATGACTGTCGTATGACCAAAAGACCAGAAAAGAATGATATCTTCTTGGCTGACTTAGACGAGAGGCTGGTATTTAGCGGGTGGCTAGCAACAGTTAACTATTGTGTGTGGGTTAGTGAGTGACTAACAAGCATTTCTCTAATCGTAACGTCTGTGTGTGTTCCCCTGTGTTCACGATGTACTTCCAGTGTCCCGAGGTGGCGCGCGCTCGCTGCGGCCGGGCGTACTTGACCGTGCTGGGACACATGAACCCAGCCTCGCCGGCGCTGGCGAAGTCGCGATTAGCCGTGTCACCCCGTCTGAAATGTTACTCATATAAATAACGGTTTTCTTCTGAAAAAAACTGACTAAAGTTATTAAGCGAAGTTTTCATCTTATTCAACGTGTTACTAGCCCACAGTCCGCCTGCTTATTCTGTGGCAGTATGGTAAATACCATAACTGATATTTGTAGACCCATAAAATAAATGTTGCTACCCACTGTGAAATATGAACTTATGTAATTATGTATATTTTAATGTCAGTGCGTACATGCAGCAAAACGTTTCGAGTTATTACAATAATTATTTAACATTGTGCCGACTAGAGCGCTGCCTGGCCGATACGAGCTTTAATATAATACAGCATTTCTCAAAGTGGGCGATAACGCGCCCTTGTGGGCGCTGCAGAACCAAAGGGGAGCGGTAAAACACCCAAAAAAAATATAGGGGCGTTGTTTAGAGGCTTGGGAGGCGATTAGTGATTTCATCTAGGAGGACTCTTAGACACCGAATGAGCTATAGTGGTTTTTAAGTAGGTTAAAAAAAGGCGCTTAAAAATAATTTATTTTAAAAGTGGGCAGTAGACAAAATAAGTTTGGGAACTCCTGGTATAATATTATGACCTACCTGTCGGAAACAAGATAGTGATCAGCGGTATACTTGGCTTCCTGGTCCGGCGTGATGCCGTCCAGAGCGCCTTCCTCAGGGTCCTTGTAGTCGGCGAGGAGGGCGCCCGCCGCTGCCTTGTTCCGTCTTATTGATTGTACAATCGCATCTCTGTAAATTAATACTTTCTTTCTTACTAATAAAATATTGGAACTCATACAGTTCAGATGAAAGTCATTTGATTCTAGCAACACCCTGAGGTCAGTACGATGTAAGCATAGTGTAGGTCTGGTTTTTAGAATCAATCTAGCCGTCCGGCCTAATGGATAAGATGAAACCCGCTGAAACAATCCAATTGATTTTTACTTTTAACTATTTAGGTATATTTCTAATATTACGACTCACATTTTACACCAGTTACATTTACAGTTTATTTTAGAATCCAAATTGCAATAATCCAAAATTTTAATATATATATGTATAATATATTAACTTGTGAGTAACATTATTTTCTATTTTTGTCTTGTGGAAAACATCAAAGGCTGTCAAGCCAAGACACGCCGCACCAAGTACAAATGGTTGGATTTGAAGAGTTTAGATAACTATAGAGGAAACACAACTAAATCGACCATCGACATTAAAGGTTGCCGACGGTACTGAGAGTATATTTTAGCGGAGACAATAAAATTAAAGGCAGCATGACGAAAAACAAGGAATTAAGGCCCTTCAAGTTAAATTTCTCCATTTCCGTCTCCTCATTTTAGGAGAAAATAGTACATAGTAAGTATTTGAAGTCGACGGTGATCAGATCCCATAGCAATACCAATTTTTCTAATGAAATACAAATATATAAAAAAACAAATGAGATATAGACCTCAAGTCTCAAGGTGGATAGATTCATTCATGTTGCTATATCTGGACTATCTATGCCACCTCTTCAAACACAAATAGGCTAGGTAGCGAGGTACATCAGACACCGCTAGCAAAAAGCAGACACTATACTATTATGTCCATTTTATTTAATTACACGTTGTTAATCGGTAGCAGATAAGTATAGTAGGTAAAGTCAATTGTGACCATCTGTTAAATACGCCGGCTTACTCGTCAATCCTAAGAAAAGAAGACACTTCTTATTTTTTTTTTTTTATTGCCCACCATATTTACAGCCCACCTGGTGTTAAGTGGTTACTGGAGCCCATAGACATCTAAGACAACGTAAATACGCCACACAACTTGAGATATAGTTCTAAGGTCTCAGTATAGTCACCACGGCTGCCCCACCCTTTAAACCGAAACGCATTACTGCTTCACGGCAGAAATAGGCGGGGCGGTGGTACCTACCCGTGCGGACTCACAAGAGCTCCTACCACCAGTAATTACGCAAATTATAATTTTGCGGGTTTGATTTTTATTGCACGATGTTATTCCTTCACCGTGGAAGTCAATCGTGAATATTTGTTAAGCACGTATTTCATTAGATAAATTGGTACCCCCGCCTGCGGGATTCGAACACCGGTGCATCGCTCGACACGAATGCACCGGACGTCTTATCATTTAGGCCACGACGACTTCAAAACTTGGTGGGGGAGTTACACTCCGGTGTAGTCGTGTCGCTTCATGAGACAGGTATAGACGTATATTTACATGTGTAAACATGCTTCGGTTTAATTACTCAGCTTTTACTTGATGTCTTGGTTTTACAATTTTATTTGCTCTTACAGCCGATTTCTGATAATTTCTTATTAAAAACTGCATAGTTTTGCGCCGCAGATTCGCCTGCGTGGATTACTGCGTTCTGTATGTACATCCGACGGCCGAAGGGAGACCCTTCGGTTGGCAATGGGGTGAAAAGCTATATTTTATTCTTTCTTATTTTTCATGGTTTCCATACCGAATTTCGTCACTTTACCGAAAATCAGTTGAGTGGCTTGAGCATTAAAACGCAACAGAGAGAAAGATTTCATTTCGGATTCAAAATGGTTTTTTGCTGTAACTTTTAATGTCTAAGAGTATAAAAATAAACTCTAAAAATCTTTAAATAAGGATAAGTTTCTTTTGATAATATGTCCGATTTTATGGAAGGAAAGTTGATATTCTATTGCAAATTAACTAACAATTCGGCGATTTTTTTAAGGGAATTCGAAAATGGGCGGAACCAAACTAACAGACAGACAGACGTACAGAAATTATTTTATTTCTGTCCTCAATATATTAATTACTTTTATCCAATCACCTCATTTTCTTGCTTTTCTTCTACGTACAGATACACTCGATTGTAGTATTTTGTTGTACGGAATGATTATTATGTTTTTAGTGACTGTATTTGAATAGTTCAATACTTCGTTGTTCATGATGTCCGATTTCTACAATGTTATTATTCAGTGAGCAACAGTCGAGGAGCGCGGCTACATTTACGAACTTATAACACCACTCAGAAAATTCAGTAATTTTCACATTTTGAGTAGATTGTTTCTGATCATAACTGTGAGATAAATATAATTATCGGAATCTTTGTTCCTCATTAATTTCATAACAAATGTGAAAAATAGATCAGTTATTTAAAAAAAAATGAAGCCTTTTATCAGACAGGTGAGTAATTGTTTCACAGTAGCTATGAGCAGGTGATAAATTTTACACTATTATATTACTTGAAGTAATTAAACATTAATTAACGAAAATTATAATACTACTGTACAATTAACATAATTCGTAACACATGCTGCTGTAGTATAGTTTATTTCTACTATCTGGAACGCCTGTGCTCATTCCCAGAAGGTTTTTATTATGTTGTTCTTCGGCAAGGGTTCGACAAGAGACTGTTCTTTGGCTGCACCTCTAGCATTACCCGCACTGTCGGCTCGTATAGCTTCGACGAAACAACGTGTGTGATCTTTAGTAAGTGTGATCGACGCTCATGAAATTATAATTCGAACTTTTTACTGACAGTTGTCAAATGAGACAATTTCGAGACGAACTTTACAATTTATATATATAGGTATATATCTATATATTAATACGTGAAGCAAAAACTTTGTGTCCCTTTTTACGAAAATTGCGCGGACGGAGGAGTATGAAATTTTCCACACTTATAGAGAATATAGAGAAGAAGTGCACAATGCTAATATTTTTTTTAAATAATGCATAAAAGATACATTAAATCAATAAAGAAAACATTACACACACTACAACCATGTATTTGACGCACACACGCATGCATACTATTTATTGTCAAACTTTTGTTCTTGACGTCTGTGGTCAAATTGAGAATAGATTAAATATTGTTTGTCTTTATTAATATTTTTTTATAGTGTAGCCTTGGCGAAATTTGTGATTATAGAAGTATAAAATACAATCATATTAGTTTACAAACTTACAATTCCAATTAATTATAGTCGAATTTCGACTACTGCGGGACCTCTAGTATTAATTAATACGTGAAGCAAAAACTTTGTATCCCTTTTTACGAAAATTGCGCGGACGGAGGAGTATGAAACTTTCCACACTTATAGAGAATATAGAGAAGAAGTGCACAATGTTGATATTTTTTTTAAATAATGCATAAAAAATACATTAAATCAATAAAGAAAACATTACGCACGCTACATACCATATATTTGACGCACACACGCATGCATACTATTTATTGTTAAACTTTTGTTCTTGACGTCTGTGGTCAAATTGAGAATAGATTACATATTGTTTGTCTTTATTAAAAAAAAATTATAGTATAGCCTTGGCGAAATTTGTGATTATAGAAGTATAAAATACAATCATAATAGTGTACAAACGATGAACTTCGGTACCACCTAATACCACGTGGGCCGTGAGTTCATCCACTTATTAACAGCTAAAACCCAATCCATTTTTTATTACAAAGCAGGTTGTGGTAGAAGACTATTAAATAGCACCCTGCATAAAGGAACGCTCATAAGCCGCAATTTTTACTTATTTGTTTCTTAAAGATTTTCGTGGCGAGCTCACAGCAGCTGGCCGCCGTCTCTGTGGGAGCTGTCATAGCGTACCCTAATGTTGTCTTGGAGCAGCTGAGGTCGGAAGCTTCTATGATATTGGATATGGATTTGCGAACCTGGATAGGTAAGTTCATTTCATGATGAGATGAATCCATTCATATTATCTAGAACCACTGCGTTTATATACAGATCGTGCTAGATGTATTTTAAACTTAATCTGGCTCTAGGAGTAACATGAGGGACGTTACTCCCAGACTCTGAGCACTATGACGCGTCTTTAATCTACTTCTAACTCTACTTTTAGTGTATCGACTCATTTATTTTACCCAATCTGCAAATTCCTTTGCGTCTTTTTTCGGAGAAAGTCTGAATTTGATCAGTCAGATACGTTACGAGATCAGTCAGTCAATAACGTCAGATGACCGTAGACTCGTCTGCGCATATAAACATTAAAAAAAAGAACTTGGCCAACAAAAATGTTAACTGGCAATATCGTCCACAATAAAACTACATTCCAACCTCTTATATCTTTTTTTTTTATTTTTTTTATTGCTTAGACGTGTGGACGAGCTCTCAGCCCACCTGGTGTTAAGTGGTTACTGGAGCCCATAGACATCTACTACGTAAATGCGCCACACACCTTGAGATATAAGTTCTAAGGTCTCAGTATAGTCACAACGGCTACCCCACCCTTCAAACCGAAACGCATTACTGCTTCACGGCAGAAATAGGCGGGGCGGTGGTACCTACCCGTGCGGACTCACAAGAGGTCCTACCACCAGTAATTACGCAAATTATAATTTCGCGGGTTTGGTTTTTATTACACGAAATTATTCCTTCACCGTGGAAGTCAATCGTAAACATTTCGACGCTTGAAAGGCAAACGTGACTAAGCGACAATGCGTGAACTTTACAGTAGACTAATTTAAAGTAGAAATAAACGAAGAAAAAAAAAAATTAACGAATCTAGCTGTAGTGGAGTCTAGCTAGTAGCTGTAGGATTGAAATTATTTTAATAGACCTAGAAATATATATATTTTGCGCATCGAATATGGTTATTGCCTATCATTTATGTACAAAGTAGTTATTGTCGCTTAGTCACGTTTGCCTTTCAAGCGTCGATTTGTTAAGTACGTATTTCATTAGAAAAATTGGTACTCGCCTGCGGGATTCGAACACCGGTGCATCGCTATATACGAATGCACCGGACGTCTTATCCTTTAGGCCACGACGACTTACAAATCTATCTATATTCAGGTTCTACCCACGGTCTAGTGGGCATCCCTTGCATTTTGATGCCGACTTTCATGCAATGGAGAGGACGCAAATTATCCTTCATCCTCACTTGCTTACTGATTATCATTGGCTGGGCCTGGACAGCAGCAGCCAGTAATGCAACGCACATTATCATCGGCGAGTGTTTCCACGGCCTCGGAGCGCACAGCCTGGTTATAGTGAGTAACTGTGTTATCAGCGAGACCTTTCTCCCTAATATCAGGACTGTGACAATGGCTACGTACACCGTATCTCAGAGTTTTGGCATGTCCATGGTCAGTATAATTGGGAGATTCGTGCACTGGAAAACTGTTGGCTGGATAATGAGCGTGCCAATACTTGTAGCTTTGCTTATCAGCTGTATGTCCCCGGAGACCCCGTCCTGGCTCGCTTGGAAAGGATATGACGATAAATGCGCAAAAGCTTTGAAATGGCTGAGAGGGACTGGTGACGATGTCGAGAGAGAATTAAACGCATTATTATGCACCCAAAAAGAAAACAAAGCCTTTACCAAGTCAATTAGAAAACGTAACAATTTTAAAGACTTCCTGACCCAGATATCAAGGCGCGACTTCTACGTGCCAACTCTTCACACTTTTGTTTATTTTTGGACGTTTTACTGGAGCGGTACCATGGTTGTCATTATTTACGCCATGGAGATTATTAGGAAATCGACATCGAACGAAACGGCCGCCTTCTACTGCATGATTTTCGTTGATATTGTGTTATTTATCGGATGTCTCTCAGGAACATTTCTGTTGAATTCGTTTAAAAACAAGAGCATTTTATTAACTAGCCAAATTAGTAGTGCCACTATCCTACTTATTTCTGCGGTAACAAGCTATTTGCAAACAAAAGAAGTAATTTCAAAAGACTCAATATTTTTGGTGTATTTAATAGTAGGCTTCGTATTATCGTATAGTTTTGGCATGTCAACATTAACATTTTCAATGCCAATAGAACTGATGCCGTTGAAACACAGGGGGATCGGCGGGGCTCTGTATGTCATATTCATTGGTACACTACACTCGGCATCTTTGAAAATATCGCCATATATGTTCCTGTACATCGACCTGTGGGGTACGTTTTTGATATACGCGATCAATGCTATGTTTGGCGCCTACTATGTGCATACGTATGTACCTGAGACTAAAGGAAGGAGCCTGCATGAAATCGAAAGATATTATAACAGTGGCCGATTTATAACAGATGAGAAAGACAACGAAAATTGTGAGAATATTTCCCTTTGATTTAAACAAAGGCAAAAAATAGAGAAGAATTAAAAAAATAAAAACGAATGATTTGTAATTAAGTACTACGAGCATTCTAATAAAGAATTTCTTCAATGTACGTACAATGTACACACTTTTGTTACATCGAGACAGTTAGGAACACGATAAAGTTTAATAGTCTCTTTGAATGTCTAGTACTCGAATTATGTAGTCTTGCCTTTTTATAAAATACGGCGTCCTGTACGCAATTTGTTATAATCCGATGTAGAGTTCATCGTACATCCTACATTGAACCAAAAAAATATTTTGGAATTTAAAGTAAGTCAGAATATGGATACATTAGTGTACGAAAAAGTGTAACAATGTAATGACGACAAAGTAATTCGTATATTAACATTTAACATTACGAAAGAGATCAGTAGATCACGTGTGTCTGATGTTTACATAAAACACACGTGAACACTTTCGCTCGCAGTTCCCAGACAACCCAACGACTTGCTTTCCAGAAGTTGCGTAATGACCTTCACATTCAACTGGTGCACAATATTATATGTTAGCACTTAAGATTGGAGGCTTAATGAGTATTGTACGATACGTATGTTAAAAGTATTCGAAACTTCAATCTGCTACACGTTTTATTAGCAACGAATATAATGAAAGCTCACATCAAGCTCATTTCATCACGTTTATATTAATTATATCGAGAAACAAGAAAAAAAAGACATTGCTCAAAAGATCTATTGTTTGTCTTTTGTAAGAATGTGAATATATTTTTTTTTCTAAATTATTTTGCTTCTTTCATTTACTATGTTCTAGTATCTACTCGACTCGTGCTTGTGGTCTGTACATATTTTTTATTGTATAATACCGGGGGGGCTAGTAAAAAGCTAGTAAATAATGCTATTTCTTCATTGTGGAAGTTTTATGTGAATACATGCTAAGTATGTCCATAGAATAATCGGTACCTGCGGCATTTGAACACCGACTCAGTGCCATTGTTTGATACGAGTGCGCCACCTTTTTTTTTTCTGGCTGGGGCCAAATCGCCTACGAAATTCACGCGCCAAGGGGGCGCGTGGAGTATGTGGGACTTGATGATCTGCTGATTGGGAGCAAACCGCGGGTCCACGGAGGCTTAGGGCCCTGTCCCACTAAATGACTCCTCTAAACTCTTACGCCCGACGTCCGATCTCTGTCCGGGTCAGAACCAGGTCAGAGTAGGGGGGTTCCCGCGGTCAACACTACGATTGCGCCACCCGCTTTATCTTTTAAGGTACGACGAGTACTCGTATGATATTGCTCAGTATTTTTCGAGGTAGACGTCATTATAAGGTGTACGAGGCATGATATTAGTTCTATGTACAATTAAATAATGGAAGGGTTACTCACGTTGGATAGTCTTCTGAATGCAGACACAGGGAATTGGTGAAGAGCTCGCATTTTGCCGAGTCATTGGCTGACAGTGTCGGTAGTTTCCTGGCAGGTGTGGGTCGGCGGCGNATGATATTGCTCAGTATTTTTCGAGGTAGACGTCATTATAAGGTGTACGAGGCATGATATTAGTTCTATGTACAATTAAATAATGGAAGGGTTACTCACGTTGGATAGTCTTCTGAATGCAGACACAGGGAATTGGTGAAGAGCTCGCATTTTGCCGAGTCATTGGCTGACAGTGTCGGTAGTTTCCTGGCAGGTGTGGGTCGGCGGCGAGTGGCGCTCACAGGTGGCTCGGGAGTAGTGCGCCGGGCTGCCGGCGACGGTCTCCGTGGATAGGTCCCGCGTCTGATGACAGCTCCTGCAAAATTCAATCATCAGAATTAGTAGTTTTCACCGTCAGTATAGCGCTTGTGATCCAGTAATATTGTGCTCACACTGTCACGGTAAACGTTATGATGTACGTGAATAATAAATACTAATAAAGATTTATGGCGTTTGCTAACCAGCGTGAGCGCGTGTTATCATATGCACTTTTAAAATTTTTCATAACTTTTTATCAACAGAACATTGGAGTGTAATATTAATACAGAGAGCGATCAGCGCGCGGCGGCCGGCCAGTGAACACTATTTTGAAAACAAACTATGAACAATTACGTAGGCACAGAGATGCCTTCACCCAAAATTACTTTCATTACCTAAAAGCTTCATTCATTTTGAACATTTGGTGACGTCGCGCTACTGTTGCCTTCGCCCGAAGTCGTGTTCGCTGTTGTTTAAATGCATTAGCAACACGAGCGACAAGATAAGCCGCCCCCTACTCGAATGAACTCTCCTTGTTTGTGGAATTACATGTCATAGCGCTCGGGAAACTCCGTAAAGCAAGTGAATTAAAAATACTGATAGTTGTGTGGCAGGTGGTGCGATGGTGTCCCTAAGGGCGAGACAATGGTGTTGTAAAAACACAAAATAAAACAAGATCTCCTAGGCCTCGAGCTTCTAAACTAATTGCTACAAGTCGTTACTAAATTACAGAATTTCGTCAGCAGCTTGAAGATACATAATGAGGTACTGGTAGATTCTATATTTTTAATTAATAGGATGTATCTATCAATCATTAAAGCAATGGTATCGGCAGGATACGCTATAGCTGTGGAGATCAGAAATTGGGAAACTAAAGATAAAGGCTATGCTAACCTTTTCTATCTACGAATCTGTTCAAAGCCCTTAGTTTCTCAGCAACTGGTAGGTCCTGCGCCAGAGTCTGGTTGGTTGACTCAGCTACCAAGTCTAAAGACGAGTTGTTTGGATGTGCTTTCAATAAATTTAATGATCTACTTCTTGGTGATGCTGTGCTCAGTGAAGATGATGTCGTTGTACTAGGTAATGCTTGAACTGCAGTTTTCTGAAATATGAGAAATATTATAACTTTTATAATAATATCTTTTTTTTTTATATAACAACTAAGAGGCAAACGAGCAAGACGGGTCACCTGATGGTAAGTGATTCACCGCATTAACTCTCATTAACTCATTCATCTCTTGCATTAACATTACTGATTATATGGTACTGTTATAAGCTTCATACTGGAAAGTATCAGGGTCTTGCCCGTTTTGTGCTGCAAAGCATTCATATAGTTTGACTCTATGCTTATAATCTGTGATTTAGAACTCATTCTCAGAAAAAAAACGAAATAATTAATAAATAAATTTACGAAAAATGTTTCGAATTGTCACAAAATTATGAGCATCATAAGAAAATAAGAAAGATAAAAGTGAAAAAAAAAAATGCGTGCGTACAAAGTACACATGTCAGAAGTGAAACTTTTTTGGCGAACTAATTTATAAGTCTTGCTTATATTTATACAAATCTAAAACTTTAGATTTCCGAGACTTAGAGGAAGGGAAAAAGGAAGGTATGTTTCCACCAAAAGTCTGTCAAATGTCAATCTCAAACCTCAGTGTTGACAGTCACATTATGTTTAGATTTCTAAATTGTAAATGACTAATATTTTGCCAATTGAATTGACTAATTTAATTTCATGCTATTTGATTAATGCTCCAAATTATTTTCATTTCATTTCAATTCCTATTAACATTTTTCACAAAAAAATTATAAAATATTAGGCTGTATGGTATGATACATTTGCCTTTCCAGTTGGAAAAATACAACAACTACTAATACTGACATTTGACAAGTACTTAATTTCAATAGTAGTTTGATGTCACTTCCGTTGCATACCTGCGTGACGTTCTGTAAAAATTGTACCCTCATGCGCCTAAAGAAGTTTCACTTCAAAAATGAAAGGAATATGATACTTTTAAAATGAGTTCCTCTCTCTTATTCACGGTGGCTTCTTGTTTACAGCGGCAATATTTTTAATGAGAAGTGAATGTTCATTTACGGGAATCCCTCTTGGATTCTGACTTCATTGACGGCTGAGACATGCAATTGAAGTTTCAAGGCTATGCGTTATCTTTAACTATTATTCAGTGTCTCGCTGTGTGCTTCGTCTAATGATTAAATGAAATTTAAAAAAAGAAGAAGAATACCACAAGAAGAATGTCACTCACATTGAAGAGCTCCATTGGCTTTATTTCCTGAACATTCGTTTTATTATCTGCAGTGTTATTGGTTCTGGGAAGAAGAGACCTAGGAGGTATCACCCTTCTGTTCCTAGCTCTGGTCGACTCCAGTGTGCTCGTTTCAACTCCTATATCAAACGGTTCATCTAGCGTGTCTTCAGAGAAGGATCGTCTTAGGATTTGGGGCTGGGGTAGCCTCACTTCTCTGGTTTCCTTGCCCGGTCTGACTGCTCGCCGGATAAGGTTGGCAGTGTGGAGTAGAATCGGCAGCATCAGATCTGTGGTGGTATTCGTTCTTCCGAACATGGATCTCACCTGGGATAATACAATTATGTTTTAGAGTTTTGGCTTAATTTAGACCGCCCAGTTTTGACTTCAGAAATATAATAGAATACATTATTATTTGCCAAAAAAAGTTAAGCTCTCGGACCACAAATCGTGGAAAACCTGTTACCGCCGCTCATGGACAATGTTAATAACAATCTCAAGCCAAATAGAGCGGTTTAAAATTAAAAATCAACTTTAAAGAAATGTAATAGCGATTTAAAAAAAGAGTTGCATTTGTGTACTAATAGTAATCAGGGTGGTAAGAACCCAGGCTCATTACTGATTGAGCCTCAAAATTTATAATAAATAGTTTGTAAAATGCGTGAATTAATATTCTATAACTAAACTGCTGAGGAAATGATTTACAACGTGTTGGAAAATATAAATGTAAACTGTCTAATTCTAAAGTTACATAAAAATATGATAAATCTGTTATCTTATTTTCAATCTTCTTCAATGCCACTAGAGTTTTCGCAGTCACGACTGAAGCGTTATTCGTCAATACTGTAATATTGAGCTACTGTCTAATTTAGATATTAAATTAGGTCTTTACCTATGAAGTTGCCGTTTAATATATAGAAAGCTAAATTATTTTTTTATTTTTATTTCTATAATTATATCCAAATACGCATCCATGATGTCGATTCATCTCTGACAGCAAGGTAGTAATTTGTCAATGCCTTTCTTGAAAATGTCGAAGGCTTCATTTTATGTGGGTCTTGTATTAATTTGTGTTTTTAGCGAGTATTCATATTTTATCACGTATTGTCATATGATTTGCAGCATGTCGACTGACTGAAGACATCAGTACCTTGTTTTTATCAACTACGACAATTTTCTCCTTAACTCTAATCGAAATATGTCTCTCAGTCGCTTCTGTGTCCAAAAGCCCGCAGGTCAGGAGCAGATCCAGTTAATAGAAAAAAATCGAATATCAAAAGTAGACGAATATTCTGTGATCACACTGTAATGCATTCGAAACATCGGGAATAATAAACGCGGGATTAACGGGTCAATATCGTTTTAAATAGTTTCTCTTTCCGACCCGCTGGAGTCTGGTTCTCGTTAACTATTAACTACTGCTTCTTCAATCTCATAACTTATGCACACTCGCAGTCCTTACGAATTACATTACATACTTGCATTCTCCCGTTTCAGTTCACTGTGCCCCCCTCGCTATAGTTTTTCTTGTTTGTAAGCTTGTAACACCGCACAGGTTGTCACCAGCACCCTATCTATATAATGTCGGTCGTGAGATGTCCACAACAACTTCGGCGAAAGCTTTATCTCATGTCTCAAGTTGAGCGGCGATATCGTACTGTATTGTCAATGGCTACCGTTACAAATAAGTGGTCGTGTTTAAACCAAATAAAAATAACCGTCATCAGCCCACAAATGTTTCCCACTCGACATAGGCTTCTCCCAATTTGTACCCGGTTTTCACATTTCTTCATCCATTAGCCGGCCACCCTTCGTAAAGGATCGCCAGACGGAGTGATGATTGATTTAGAATGTGGAATTCATGTGAACAATGAAACTTTGGGGAATGCTGAACGACAGAGGGAAGATCTTCCACCGAGCGGGTGATATTGCTCGGTAGACTGACGGTCCGAATGTTGTTGTTCGGAACTTGTATATATGCGCTTTATCTTGAAAATGTCGGAAGCGAGATTCAGGCATCTGTCAATTATCTTGCGTTGTATGATGGCTACCCGCCACAAAACCATAAGCAATTTAAATACTAAAGCTAGAATATTTTTTTCAAGGTACAAAAACAAAGAGGGATTGAAACTGAAGATGAAGATTATAACACTAATATTCCATTATGTTACTATAGCATATTAAATAACATTAAACAGCATGCTATTCATAATGAACCATTACATGGTTATGAGAAAAACCTAGTTCCAGTTTCATAACAGATATCATCAGAGCATTTGTCCAATTATTACATTTTGGAAAAAAACTTTTGAATAAACATTTAATGCAAATGAATGCCATTCTATTGTTTTATTGTCATATTAGCATTAGTGAAGTGACCTTGAAAATCATTATCTAAACAAACTCCTGACTTTCTGTTATAAACTAGCTTTCTGCTCGCATCTTCATATATTTTTTTAGAAATGTGGTATTACTGGTAGCCCCCTTTCTAGTTTCACCAGGACGGGTGGGCGAGCAAAGGCTCAGCCAAAAGGGGTGGGATTTACTAACAGCCGTCTGAGCGCCTCCGAAGGAGACCTAACAACTAAAGAGCAACTGCTTCGCGAATGAATCCACTACCGGATCGGATGCGCGACCTGCTGATAAGATCCGGCGAGAAACTCTGCGAGCTGATGCAAGGGTTAGGTTGCACGTCGACCTCTTTGTCGAGTTCGACGAGTACGTTTACGGGGTCTCTAAACCTGCTCCTAGTGAGTAGAGCTGAAGGCGTTTAATGCAAAGGTTATTTGAGGCTAATAATATTATGATTCATATTATGAAATTCCAATAATCATGCCACATTTGACTTTGGTGAAACAAGCCTGTATTCTACTCCAAATCAATTTCTATCTACTCGTGAAAACTACATGAATATCTACTCAGTAGTTCCTGTGATGTGTGCCAACAAACAAAGTGACAAACATACAGAAAATGAATCCAAAATCAACTTTTTATATTCTAATGCTGTTCTTTAGTTAGTCTCGTTTTATTATTATTACTTAAAATACCGACACCCGTGATTCTACTGTTTTATTGGATTACTAGCTGACCCGGCAAACGTTGTGTTGCCTTAAATAAGATTTCTAGGGAAATTCTACTGTAGAAAAAAAACCTCATTTAACCACATAATAAATACCTCATTATAAAAAATATATATATGTAAATGAAGCTCTCTTGGCCCTTCATTAATTACATTTAAATTTCCCGCGCATTAGCTTCCACCACTATCATAATAATATTATCTGTGGTGGAAGCTATGTTCATTCCATAATTGGATTTGCTCTCTGGCTTCGGACATTCAAAAATATAACGTGCTTTCTTAATAGATTAAAAAAACTTGCAGATTTAAAAANAATATAACGTGCTTTCTTAATAGATTAAAAAAACTTGCAGATTTAAAAAAGGGTGAAGCAATATCTTTCAATGTTGTTTCTCTTTGCAGGTTCGAAAATAATTATAATAATTGTAAGTGTAGAAATAAGTTAATAAAATAATAATAATAAAAAAACTCTTTGCAGAGCAACAACTTGGTTCTTTGTTTCATTACAAAACACATTACAAAACAACATTGATTAAAGCTTTTAGAAACAATGGATAAGTTGAAGTTTGAATTTATTGTGAAACCAGGTGAAGATCCAAAAACAAATGTTATTTGTATAACCTCAATAACAGATACCGAAAAAAATGTGTTCTTAATGCCGGAAAAATTACAACCGGTAAAACTACACGATGCGGTAATAAAAACCCAAACTTTTCAAAAAGTAAAAGCTACGTTGCAAAGAAGACACGAAAAAAGGCAAGTATGGATTTCAGCAACAGCAGAATTACGTGACACTTACATGGACCAAGACGGAAATATGCAGTTCCAAGGATATTTACTGGAGGAGATTACATCAAAAACACAACAACAGATTTTTANACAACCGGTGAAACTACACGATGCGGTAATAAAAACCCAAACTTTTCAAAAAGTAAAAGCTACGTTGCAAAGAAGACACGAAAAAAGGCAAGTATGGATTTCAGCAACAGCAGAATTACGTGACACTTACATGGACCAAGACGGAAATATGCAGTTCCAAGGATATTTACTGGAGGAGATTACATCAAAAACACAACAACAGATTTTTACTAATGAAACTTCGACGGAAACTCTTACAAGAATCCTGGAAAACTTTGCTGAATTGAAGAAGGAATCTAAACAGTTTAATTTAAAACAAATATCTGAAATGTTTGTAATAGAAAAATTCACAAAAAAAACCTCAAGTGTAACACAGTGGATGATCATCTTTGAAGCTGAATGTACTCGTATAGGTATAGATGTAGATATTCAAAAGATTCAAGTGCTTAGGCTATTTCTGGATGATTCTTGTCAAGATTGGTATAATTCTATGCTTATAAAATATACAATTAATTCAGAATGGGGTATTTGGAAAAAAAGCTTTTGTGAAACATATGTGAACAAAGGCTGGACACCAATAAGGTATGCTATTTTGTTCAAATATAGGCAGGGCTCATTATTGGAATATGCTCTCAAGAAAGAGAGGCTTTTATTAGAGGTTAACAAATTAATAGATAGACCTACCTTGATTGATTTAATTGTAACAGGGCTGCCTAATTTTATAGCGGATGAAATTGATAGAAATAAATTAAGAGAGACTGAAGATTTATTTAGTATTATTCGGGGCTTGGAACACTTAATGAATAAAAGGACTGTGGAGAAAAAGGGAATAGATTCGGATTATAAAATAAAAGAAAAAAATTTCAGAGCCCGACCATGCAAAATCTGTGAAAAAGAAAAGAAGGGAATTAGGTATCATTCAGAATCTGTATGTTGGTTCAAAAATAGAGATAATGATTGCTCTAAAAAAGAGTCAATTAGGAATGTTAATAATTCTGAATTAGAAATAAGTTTAAATGAAATAGATCCAAAAAACTAATTATTCCACCATTAATCAAAGTTAAGCTTATAATAAATGATTCCTTAGAAATATTAGGTGTTTATGATTCAGGATCAAATGTAAGTTTAATTAATTCAAGACTATTATCCTTAAAAAAAAAAAACAATAATATCAATAATCAAGCAAATTTAAAAACGATTAATGGTGTAAAAAAGTCAACAGGAATAGTAACATTAAAGATAAAGATTTTTGAAATAGAAAAAAATATGAATGTGTTTGTAATTGATGATCAAAACTTTGATTATGATTTTCTGATTGGATTGGATTGTATAAAATCTTTTCAACTTATTCAAAATGAAAACTTGAAAATCACACAAAATCTAAACAAAAGAGAAAAAAAAC